ATTAGCATATCAATATTCAAAGGGGGTTATGCTGGCCAGAGGTGGCAGCCTTTTTAGCCTAGAGTAGACCCTCATGCACAAATAATGAAACCTGCATTTGACTCTTACAGGCCAGCTGTTGAGTTAAGCCCATAAGTCAATAAGAAGTGTGACGAATTATAGAACTGATTTTGAATCACAGCTGAGACGGTTTCTACCTTTTTGTCCTTTTCTTTGAATTTCCAAGGATCATTTCAAATGTCTCACAGTACACATGAAATATTTTTGAACCATTTCTCCAGTTCTCTTGGGTGAATAACAAAGGGCTAAATGGTGTCACCCATTCCTACCCACCATACCTCCCTCCCCTTCCTCGACTCAAGCCATCTGACCCCAAGACTGGCAGGCCGGGGGACAGTTAACCTTGTGTGTTATTGTGTGTGTCGGAGTGTGTTGGAGGGGCAAAGCCACCATAGAGTGTCGGTTACTCCGAGGGCCAAGCGGAAAAGCGGTTGGGCAGTTTAGCCAGCTGCTGGGGGAGCGAGCCACGGCTGGCCTGGTCAGTGAAACCTTGCCAGATGGAGCCATTCCAAAACAATGAAAGCGCCTATATGGTGGAAAACTAGAGGCTGGTTGCTCAGGGGACGCAGAGGGAGGGCCTTTATCTACAGTATCTACAACTGGTGGTTGGGGTTGCAATATCTAGAAATATTCTTTGGGTCAGCAACTAAGTTTTTCTGTCCTAATACCTTTGTTGGCTTATCTATCTTGCAGCCACTGAATCAGACCTATCTGAAAATTGACATACAACATCCAAGGCCAACAACTTCTTCTTAGTCCTAGTTCTCCTGCCGTCTTTGACACCCTCTTGCTAACTATTTCTTTCTCTCGCTTAGTTTCCCTCTCTCCCACTCTTTCACACACACTTGCTCTCTTCCTCTTTCTCTCCAGACAGCAACAGGCTGAGGTGTCCTGGGACCACTCCGCTTAGGAGTAACCAAGCCTGGGTAATGAGGCGTGTGATTGGTCCCCTCCCTCTTGAACAAGGCCAGTCTTTGGAGGACATGATTGATGATGACGGCAGCACAATGGCAGCCCGGTGTCAGAGGGGTGGCAAGGGCACACATGGACCCCCCGCGGTAACACACAGTCACCCAGCTCAGCTGTGCAAAAGCAGTTACAAGCATACACACGGCATGTATGCACATAAATGTGCACAATCCGGGACAGCACAGCACACAGGGCCACTTGTGGACATATGCAAGCATGTAAAATGACAGGTACGAACAAAGCAAGATCATGTGCTCCATATGTTATATGAATAAAAGACAGCACATTGAAAGACTACATCATTTCAAAATAATTCTAAAAATATCTCCCTTGAGGCAGTAGATTCGGAGGTTATTCTGAAAACGTTTCATTCTTCTACCCATATTTTTGTCATTAAGTTAAGGCCTCGAATGGTAACAGATCTAAACAAAATCCAACCCATGGCTATCAGAAGAAAGAATTTGGTGAGACATATTGTATAGATTGTTGAAGACAAAGCTACGCCCATCGGGTGTTTATTGTTAGCATGTTTTTTCTTCTTCAAATATAGTTTAAATCGGACAGTATATTGCATATGAGGTTCACTCTAAGGTCTTGTTTTTGTTTACACCTGCAAAAAAACAAAGATGGAGTCTTTGCTCCAATTGAAATATTTTTTGTGCAAAAATAAAATGTAAGCTAAGTTCATGTTCTATTATATGAAACACAACAGATCTCAGTAAAGATTTGTTTTCGTAAAACTATTCCATTCTCTTTTCATGTGCAGCATACTGTTTGTTCTTTTCAAGTAGTCGGGCTGAGGCTTGTCTAATCCACTTGTGAGCCTGTTGAACCTGCTCATATTCAACATCAAAATCAAGTTCTGTAGGAGCTTATGGAGGACCCTGAATGGCTGATTGCAGCTGCCATCTCAAGTAGGACCCAGGTGTGTTAGCACTCTTACCAATTTTCTGCGATGATGCTTTAGGTTTCGCAGAGGACACGCCAAAACAGGATAAAAGCCTCGGCATGTTTTTCGGGTTTGGCTCTTCATGATATTTATGCGAGTGAGCCGAGGATGCCGGAAAACAAAATGTTTGTGTTGGCTTTAAAAAGAGTGGCATTACCAGAACTCATTTTTATTGCTGTTTTTTGCTGAGTTTATTCCTCAAATTCCTTCTTTAACATAACTTGGTGATGTAATAAATCATTTTGATGTTATAGTTTACCCAAATAATAAATTGAGGAAAATTATTAATATGGTAGATGATGAATTTATCTTGCCTTATTTGAGATAAGGATAGGTCACACATGTCCACCATGCACTGCGTTACAAATGAAAAAAGCAAAGACTCTCTTCTCACATTGGATGAAAGGAAAACCAAAGCAGTCCTGTTGTTGTGCTTGTAGTCTAAGCTCCTTTGATGCTGCATTGGCTTTAGGTTACTGTGTACAGCTCCTTCCAGATTTACAAACACTTCTCCCTTAATCTGCATAAAGATCCACACTGACCTGTTGACCAGAGATTACTGCCCTTGAAAACACCCACAAATTTGCTCCTTATCCATCAAAACAAACATCCGCTTGATAATGTTTTTTTAGATCTCAACATTATGTGAATGTAATGGAATTGCTGGAAGAATGGAGGGTGTGAATTTGGTGAGGTAGAATGAGAAAATGAAAAAAGGTGGTTGCTTTAGAGGCTAATTGCCCTGAGTGGACTAATGAACAGCATAGGTCTAATTGGCTTACACCACTTGTGGGCTGGCATGCTGGGCGAGCAAAATTGAATCAAAGCTGTAGGACTACGTCAGAGTAGTTTTGTGCGTTGTGGTGCTAATTGGCACAGTGTCAAAGGCCTGAAGCATGGCACTGAGCCAAATAGACGCGCAGCTCTGCGCAAGCGCCTGAATTGAAATCTTACAGAAAAGGATAAATTGGGGACAATGTTTTTTTAAGGAATCATGAAAGAAAGAAAGAAAGAAAAGTATTGAACTACATTAACCTCTGTGCTTTTTAAGATTCGAACTCGTTTCTGTACTGTGGTCATATTTCTCAATCAAAAGTTTAAAGCAGCGTTTAAAACGAATACCTGTCAATCATTTTAAACTAATCCAACCAGTAAAGACGTGCGCATACTTTATCTTTTTTTCGGTACAACCCACCTGTAAAACTACAAATTATAACCTAACGGTATGTTGTACTATCCGTCCACTCGTATCAATAATGCGATGCGGTCTCTTTTTAACCAACAAAAGAGACGCAGCGATTGAACAGCATGACAACAATGTCCCGAGCAGTGCCCCATTGTGCGCCTTGAAAGACAGACACGTGCACCGCAACATAGCTAAGGAGAAAGATGGGAGGGCAAGCAAGTGTGTGAGTGTGTGAGTGTGTGTGTGTGTGGGGGGGGGGGGGTGTTTGTGTGTGAGCGCGCTTGAAGATAGGCTTGGGGACAGGAGCAGCACACACGCCTCCAGTCTGTTTATAGGAACTCCCCCTTTCAGCACCCTGGACAGAGGCAGCGCTGACCGCCGCCTATACTTTAGTACTTCAGTAAAGTCGCAGGCTGCCGGGCTCACAGTCAGGTCAGCTGACGCTGCTAATGGTCAGACACTTTTCCACTGCCACCCGACCGTCGTCTCCACCTCATCTCGAGCTTATCCAGGAATCAAAGAGCAACTTGATGAATATTCAAAGTGCACGTCCTCGGCGGCTGACGAAAGGAGAAAGGTCGACGGGCGTCCTTTTTAACAATTGTCAGAAATCAAGCTGCCACCGAAGAGAGCTCAACTCACTCTCGAGAGGATAAAATCTCCAGGAAAGTGCCGGTTTGAATCCACCCACCGTCCATACGCAGTAGCCTATTGTTAAGGTTTTTTCGCACGCGTTTCGGCGCTGCTTTCTTCCGTTGGAACACCGGGACATCTTCGAAATGTTGCTTGAACACCCGGGGTCAAGCTGTCAAAACACCGGAAATTTCTCCCGGTACAGTTCAGGCCAAGGTAAGAGCCCATTTTCACTATTTTCACTGTGCATATGAGCATGATCACTTGGCCGGGTTTTAATTGATGTCCTGGGGTCAGTTAATGAGTTACAATTAAGCGTGAAATAGTGGATCACACAGCAAATCGGTACAGCAGGACTGCAGGAGGCTCTTGTTTTGCTGAGTGGACTCTGACAAGCGTGAAATGGGCCTTGTGAACTGCTTTTATTTTAATGTGAAAAGCAAGGACACTGAAATTCCAATTATTTAATGTTTCATCATTTGAATGTTCGATGCGCCCAAGCGGGACACATTGTAAACATTGAAACGTCATATAAAGTTGCGGCAGTTGCAGAAAAACCCGACTGTTATTCATCGACCCATGTTGATGTATACAGACCGTTTAGATGCGCTTCTTTTGCAGCGCGTGTGGGAGACGTTATGAATTTGTAATGAGCCTTCATTGTTGGGGAATCGCACCAACAGATGTTACGCGCGTGTTGTCATTTCACACCGCCGCCTGCGGTTGTAACGGGAGCGCAAGCAGGGCGCAAGATGCGGAAATGGAGAGGCACGGACCCACTGTGGCGACTGCAGCCTCGCTATGGCTGTGAGACAGACTGCCAGCAGGCGCGGTGGAGCTGCTCCCACCCGCACACCACCGACACAATATGCTCAACAGGTGACATTCCTGCCCCGACAGGTGGGACATGAGGTTGCATTGGAGGTGATGGTGTACTAGTGGTCGGATTCAAAGCCTCCCCATAATAGCTAAATTATTAGTGGCATCTAAAGATGTAGAAAAACAAGCTTGTTTCGTGTTGTTGTACGGCTGTATTCATTGTGACTAAGGCAACACAAAAAAATACATTTTAATTTAATTTTAAATAAAAGGCACGTGTGGAATTATGAAGAACAAAACTACGAAAATATGATTTTGAATCAGGTCACATAATACTTATACATAAACATAAACATAAACTTAAACCGAATTTACAAATTCAAATTCAAGCAAAAAAAAAAAAAAAAAAAAATTCCAACGAAAAACGTGAATTTTCTTGATCGTCCTTGCAGCTTTCTCTAACTGACTGACCATTATTCTGATGGTCATTTTATCGCTTTGTTGTCACATTACTGTCGGGCTCGCCCCCTCAAAAGTGAGCGATCAATATGACATCAAAAATTATTACAAAGCTGAAAAGTAAGAGGGGCATCCATGAATCCCACAGCTTTCTCCAAAACGTCTTTCATATACTTCTAAAATACAGGCAAATGGGACATTGATTTTGGATTCATCAGCGGCCCGGCTGGCTGTGGCACTACCCGTGATTTCCCCAGGCGCTCTTTTGTGCCAAAGATCAGTGTCAATAAAATTCATTGGGGTGTTGGCCCGATCAACATGTTATTGAACAGCCAATCTCTCCTCTAAATAAACACTTGTCTTTGAGCACTCAACACACATGAGATGGAGATTGTATGTGTGTGTGTGTGTGTGTGTGTGTGTGTGTGTGCGCGCGTGCGTTTATGTAAGATTTTCAAAAGCACTTATTTCACTTTTGATCAGAATCAATATTGTACACATTGCTCCATAAGCAAGTATATTAAATTCGTAAAACAATCACTTTTGTTCACAAAAGTACCTGAATATAATAATAATAATAGCGACAAACCAAACGGTGATATTCTTTATCTTCTTCCAAGTGTAAAAACACTTGCAGCTGTCTGTAAAATAGAGCGATTACAGTATTTGAGAGTAAAAAAAAATGCTGGGCCACTGCTATATTTATTTTTTGCAACAACAACAACAAAAAGTGAATTAATTAAAGGCAGCCCAAGACAAGGAACTGTGTTCCATAGGGGCCCAATCTCCCCTTTACGCATGGCAGTACTGGAATCTGAATTACAAATAGATCCGAATCCTAGTTAGAAACCACTTTGGTCGATTTACATAATACATCAACAACAAGATTTCTTTTTAGATTTTTTTTTAGAGGTTGTAGATGTAGTTCGTTCTGTAGTTCTCAAATACTCATGGCATCACTCCAATGTCAACGCTGCGATATTTAACACTTTGTTCTGACTAAATGCATGGGCTTCTTACTCAAAACACTGAAGACAATATTACTAACTAAGCAATATTAAAAGTGTAATCTGAATTAGTTGCAGAATATTTTCCAATAACTGGGTTTTCAAAACTGCAATACCATGAACACTCTGTTTTCCTTTTCCTTTAATGTATGATTCAGCAAAAACAACATAACACAAATCCATCACAATATGTGAGAATTAATTATTTTAAAGTTGGAGAAAAACGTGACGCGTTTTCGTGTTATTTGGAGCAATAGGCTAGACTAATTGTGCGTATCAGAGTAACGTTACCACCCAACACTGAACCTCCTGTTTATTCCTCTTCCGGGAAAGGTACTCTCAGTGGGTGATGTTAATCTACCTCCCTGTCGCCCAGGAAACGGAGCAGCGTAATCCTGCACAGGCTTCAACACAGTGAAGCATAAAAGCGAACTCCACTCGCACGCTCGTGTTCGCCATTGGGGCTCCTGATACACAAATTTGACAACACCTGCCTGGTGTGTATGAGTGTGGATGGGTCACAAACAAGAGTTGTATAAATGTAAGCGTAAAATCATGAGCAATGGATGGACATAGTGAGCGCAACTCTCCAAAAGAGGCACCAAATAACACGGAGATGCCCCTTGCTGTGCTGTCGCACAGTGAGGAGCTGCGGAAAGGTAATCGGAAGCCAACATATCAATTTATTCGTTTTTGCACTGATGATATTACACACATGTGTGTATCATGTGATCACACACAGCCTGTCTGACTTTAGTGTCTTTAAATAGCAGTGCTTAATAGCAGGCATTCAATGTGGTGTGTTGATAATGTTTCCATGTTGAATAGGTATCATAAGTAGTACCTATACACGGAGGATGGATGCTACAGTTTATTTTTAATTGTCCATGTTCGTTGCTTTACGCATCAGGCTTTTGACCATTGATTTACATGAATGGTCGTTCAAATTTAGATATATTATATTTCATATTTAGTGCACTGTTTTGGAGGGTAAAACAGACGTAACTCGGTCTACGCACTGTTTTAATTTGGAAATTGCTTTTACATGTATTTGAGTCTGACATAACCGTTGTTATACGATTCGGAAAGTTGTACATGTTGAAGAATACCGCTTAAAAGTGATTTAAACTGTATTCTAAGGCGTACATATATATAAAAGTTGTTCCATTAACTTTTGTTAAATGGTTGCATGTTTATTATTCACTATAGTATAATGAATGAAAATGACCAGTTGTGGGGAGGGTGTTGGATTGATTGGAACCTCACCTGCTCCAAAGTTGTGAATTAACTCAAGAGATTCCCATTGGGATTTGCAAGCGTCTTTATTTTCAATATTCCAAGCGGGGCCCCATAAGGCAAGCAATTTGCTTGGACACCTTATGGGTTTGCACCGTGAGACTATAGGCTGCAGCTTTCTAGTTTTACAGAGCGCCTTGAATTAATGATGACCTGGATACACCTGTTCTTGACGTGGCTCCCACCACAACTTGTGCAGGGCTTCGCTGCTGATGCCAGAAGAAATGATTCATTAATGGTTCATGAATTGTCCACAGCAGAACAATAGGGATGCGATTCCTTGCACGGATGAAATATGAAGTGGTTGGACCTCATTTAATTAGTGATAATGCGACCTGATGACGTCTTACTTGACATTTCAGTTGTCCGTATTCATGTTGTTTGTGTTTAAATGTGTCTCAGAGAGTTGTTTTAATCCGTCGCTGTTGATTTGAGGGAACGTTGTTAAAATATCTGAAATGGGGTTTGGAGATGTTACGTGCTGCAGGCCTGTCTGTCTGAAATTGACCTTGCGTAAAAGTGGCTGCTGCTTGTTAAAGGTGATTACACGTGACAAAATAATAAGAAGCCGGCCACTATTTGATTGACGAGCTATTAATTACCAAGATGATACATTAGCTTACAACTCATTTATGGTCTAATTTTTATTTTATTTTGAGAATCCTGCAAACTTCGGAGCTGCACAATTGCATTTAAGGATTTATTAGTATTTATTTGAATCAGTATAATCGCCATTCATTGGCATTAGAATACACTAATGGTTTCAAGTCACGTTTTATTTAGGCTAAATGCCTCTATCCGAGTCTGACTTCGAGCACATTTATTAACCTTCTTTTCCACGAAGGACCGCCTCCAAAATATACAATAAAAACAATTGATTTATTTAATATCTAAATATTTCATGCATGTGGTGATTAGGTGCCTGCGTTTGGACAATGGCCTCGTGTTTTTAGGCCGACTAGAAATAAAAGAATATCCTTATAGGGATATCAAAATCCCTGCAGGTCCATGTGCACGTTTTCTTTCACTACTGTCATTTCTATACTATTTCTGTATTTTGTGCATGTGTGTGTTTATACTGTGCAATACAATTGTATTTATAGTGGTATTTAGTTATTTTACTGCATTTGGGGAATACATTGATTTTGAGGTATCTGAAACTAAAAGAGTGATGATGATGTAATGATGAAGGCGAAGGTAGAAAGGGTCTTACATGCTATTTATGAAAAACAAGTCAATATAATTTGATCTCCTATTGAAAATTATATATTATTTTAAAATCATAAAAATACGACCAAATAGTCAACTATTTAAAACGCAAAAAAAGGAGAAAAATAGGAAATGGACAAAAAAAGTGAATCATTCGTTTATTCACGCTGCTGATATTTATTCCAGCTATAACGTCTCCTCTACTTAATTAAAAGTGTGTAGATTAACATAAAGTGTGCACACAGTAAGAACAATAAGCAGTTGTCACTCTGCGTGTCTGTTTCCCTCACGCCATTTCTCAAAGCTAGTCGACTAAAATGTTTTTGGTGACTCCATCGTGTCTCCTGCAGAAATCCCAGTATGTGCAGGCTGCAATCAACACATCGTGGACCGCTTCATCCTCAAAGTGCTGGATCGCCACTGGCACAGCAAGTGCCTGAAATGCAGCGACTGTCAGGCGCAACTGTCGGAGAAGTGCTTCAGCAGAGGCGACAGCGTCTACTGCAAAGAGGATTTCTTCAAGTGAGTAGCTTTCAAAAATATCTCAGGGGCCATTTCAAACATTTCCCTTCATAATTTCCTTTATTAGAGATATTTTTGTTACTCCAAATATATTCAGACGCCAATAGTGTTTCGACAGTTATTATGTATTGATGGAAACCGTCTGATTTCCCAAAAGGAGATTCGGGACCAAATGCGCAGCCTGTCAGCAGGGGATCCCGCCCACACAGGTGGTGAGGAGAGCGCAGGACTTTGTCTACCACCTGCACTGTTTTGCCTGCATCGTGTGCAAAAGGCAACTGGCCACAGGCGACGAGTACTATCTGATGGAGGACAGCAGGCTGGTGTGTAAGGCCGATTACGAGACCGCCAAGCAGAGAGGTGAGCTGCACAATGACTGCCTCAACATTTCTATTGGTGGCCTGAAAACGGATCCTAACTCTGGATGTTATATGATACGTTTGTCTGCAGACATGTTTTTAAGTGCCTGCTTTGAGTTGTGCGTTTGACGTGACAATGAGGTCACCCATAAACTCTGACCCACCTGTGCTAATTGCGTCGTTGCCCGCAACCCAATCGATAGCAAACTGCGTAAAGTGGAGACCTGGATGTTGCACTTGCACTCTGCGGCTTGAAGGAATCAGCTTTCAATAACCCTTATTATCGTGGGGGCCTTCCTGGGTAGAGACAGAAAGAAAGAGGCGTGTGTGTGTGTGTGTGTGTGTGTGTGTGTGTGTGTGTGTGTGTGTG